AATAAATTCTCTTAGACTCTCTTATAATCTACTAGAATTTGTTCCAATCTCTTAGAATCTGTTCCAATCTGATAGAATCTCTTATTATCTAATAGATTCTCTGAGAATCTATTCAAATCTAATAGAATCTCTTAGGATCTAATAGATTCTCTTAGAATCTATTCCAATCTGATAGAACTTCATAATCTAATAGATTCTCTTCAAATTCTCTTAGAATCGGATAAATTCTCTTAGACTCTCTTATAATCTAATAGAATCTCTTATCATCTAATAGATTAAAATCTCATAGAATCTATTCAAATATATGCAGATCTAATCAATTCAAATCTAATGAAATCTATAGGAATCTAAGAAAAATCCATACAAATTCAAATCAATGCAAGATCATGCAAACGTATGCAGATGTATGTAAATTCATGTAAATGTATGCAGATTTATGTAAATATATATAGATGCATGCAAATAAGACAATGACATCTCTGAACTTCTCATAATGTATTAAGATGTATGTAAATTTATGCAAAGTTATGTAGATGTATGCAGATTTATGCATATATATTTAGATGTATTCAAACTTATTTAGATTTATTCGTTTGCATTCATATATGATCAATTGGAATCTATTAGAATCTATTCAGATCTATATAAATGTATTCAAATCTTAAAAGAATCTTAAAATCTATTCAAATCTAACACGCTCTCTTAGTATCTAACAGCTTATTCAAACTAAAGGAGTAGTCAGATCCATTCCAATCTAACAAACTCTCTTAGAATCTAATAGAATCTATTCAGATCTAACAGAATCTGTCCAAATCTTTCTATTAGATTCTAAACGATTCTAACACCTATTGCTCGCTGTTACCAGCTGCTGTCAGCTCCTGGTAATACCTAATGCTAATGGGCACTTGGCCTAGTAATTGGTTATTGGCACATTTGTTAATTTGCAGAACTGATTCTGGACCCAGTGGCACAGGCGGTCAGGTGTAACACATGAGGAAATTATTGGGGGATAGTGATAAACTATGCTCATTAGTCTTAACCATTATAATTAACCAATGCGTTAAGCTACAGTTGTATGTGACTTGAAGAGGACCTCTTCAGAAATAAAGTTATCTCCTTTGTCTAATTTTTCTCTGGTGCATTCTACCTTTTCCTAAAAAAAAATGACTCTTACTTTATGGGGATAATAAACTCATTTAAGTTGAAGATCATGATGCCTGGGGCGGGGACTGTTGGTCTAGAGATGAGGAAGCATGAGACACCTGAACCCAAACTGATGTAGATGGACTGTGCTGCTGCTGCTCTCCTCCTTTCCTGAGGTTTTTGCTTGAAAAAGGGCAAAAAAGCCGAAAACCACCACACTTTTCTGCAAGAAACATCCGTTTTCACTTCAGGCTGTGGCCCCAGCGTGAAATTCTGAGCTGCAGCACCCCACCATCTGCTCCCTCCCCCCCCTAAAAAAAAAACAACCCCAAAAAAAGACACACACACAAGCCAGGGCTGTTTGCCAACAGCAGCACCAAGGAGCATACATCAGCATTTCCATGACCACCTCGTGCTCCTGGCTGTACAGTAGTGTTTAATTTAAAAAAAACTCTTTAATGCTGTCACGTGTGGTGCAAAAGGTTTATTTCTGATGCACAGTGTTAGAGCAAAGCAGCCAAGTGATGAAGTCCCGTCGCGCTCTGCTTCTGCGTCCTGCTGTGGCCGTGGGGTTCGGGTTATTCTCACCCACCTCCGTGTTTGCTGGATCCAGCCCTGGAATGAGAGAGAAAAAACCTTAGACCAGCTTTTCTTTGAGCCTGGACAAACCAGGAAAGACTCCCCTCACCCCACCCTGATGTAATTATTTGCTAAAAACAACTTTACCAGCAGTCTTAGGGTACATAGTTCAACATTTATTTTTTTCCTGCGAGCTGTCAAGCCAAAAGAAAATAATGAACTGGGGTTTGTTTTGTAAACTGCAGCGTGGCTTTGCTCGTTGGTGCTGAACATTTGCCTATCTCCTGTTTTCCAGGACACTGGAGTTCCTAATGAGACACTTAGCTCGCCTAGCTGATTACTGCTCCATCACAAATATGCACACTAAGAACTTAGCAATCGTTTGGGCTCCAAACCTCCTAAGGTACCCTTTTCTTCTTTTTTTTTCTTTTATCTCCTCCATTTCAATACAAGATAAGTTTTTCCATTCTCCAGAAAATCATAACGTTGAGCAATCGAGATCCTCCTTTCTCCCATCCCTGGTAAAAATTCCTAATGGGAAGTCATTCAGAGCAGGGGCTCGAGGCAAGCTGGCAAAATCCTGATTTAGTGATGTAGAACAGCCCCGCTGTTGCCAGTAGAACCACCCAGAGAGAACCCCCCACTGTTATTCTGTCTCCCTACAACGCAAATTCCACCAACACCAGTTTGCTAGTGGCACGTAAGGATTCCCCCCACCCCCAGCCTTCCTTCCTAAAGGATCGTTTCCCCTCCCCTGGGTTCGTTGTCCTTGATCATCCAGGAAAATTTGTTCAGTGGCAACGCTGATTTCCCATCGCGTAAGTCTCTCGAGTCTGAGCTGACAGCTTCTGGCTGCAGAAATGCAAACTTAGGGAAATGATCTCGGATAAATCCGTCCCCGTAAATTTGTTTTGAAAGTATGTAATAGTTTAATATTAAAGATTTAATTTAAAAATATTGTCTTAAAGTAAAAGATACATTCAATTCACCCTGGCCTCTTATTCTATCACTTTCTGGACTGCCTTTGTTACCAACTGGAGAAATCCAAGTCGTAGGTTCCGCTGGGTGCTCTTTTCTCCTTTCTGGCAATTCACCCACAAGCAGTCAAGTGATCTCCTGTCTGAGTGTGGTTTTGTGGATCTTGGGGTACTTGCTGAGCAGGAGCAGCTGGAGACATTCCCTGCTAGAAGGAAAAAAAAACAAACACCAAAATCACATTAGAAGGCCACTTCATCCAACATCTCCAAATCAAACTGCTGCCATTCATGGTATCTGGAAATGAGTTAACAAAAAGCTCCCCGCTTGGTGTGTGTATCCTTTTCCCTTCTAGACCCAGCATCCCTTTTGCCATTTCACTAAGACTCAAACCTGAACTCAAAAATCTGGATATAAATCACTACGATCAGTAGTAGCACTTTAGGGAGATTTAATGTCTTGTCTGCCCTGAGCTCAACACAGGCTGAAGCGTTACCCGAAAGGAGCCCGTGTTCTTCTGGCTCTTTGTGTTTCATTTAATCTGCCTTTTCCTCAGGTCGAAGCAGATCGAGTCTGCCTGCTTCAGCGGAACGGCTGCCTTCATGGAGGTGCGGATCCAGTCGGTCGTTGTGGAATTCATCTTGAACCACGTAGACGTCCTCTTCAGTTCCAAACTCAGCTCAGTCATACGAGATGGGGCAGGTGCGTTGTCTTCCGCTGCTAGCTTTCAAAAAAAAGGTAGAAGACGATGGGTATCTGACACTTGAAATACATTTCTGCTGCAACAGATTTCCGGGGTTATGCTGTTAGAACCTGGAAAATACAGCCTGTTTTTAGCAATTGCTGTTGGTACCTTTCTTACAAGGCAAGGATGCTCTACAGAAGTGCACATCTTAATGTCTGGCTTCCGCTTCTATGTGCTGGCACTGAGAAATTAATCTTAAATCGTCGTCCCCACCCTGGAGCATTCAAACATCACTCAGCCTTGGAACCTACCCATTCCCTTGAGTGACTACTAAGCGTACCCGTTCCATTGCAAACGTGCAAGGAAAGAAAGGAAGAAAGTTTACTCTGGATGTTAGAGCGACCAACCTGGGTGCCACAAGCTGTTACCACTCCTCAGCAGCATTAAGTGTGCACCATCTGCTCCCGTAACCCGCCCTCCCGATGAAACGGCAGCGCAGCTACCACCACCTGTGGAACAGAGAGAGCTGTTTTCCCAGCCTGTTTGCTATTTACACAAACCCTGCCTCTCCTTCACGTAGCTGAGTTGCTCTAAGTCCAGCTTTTGTTCCTCCTAGGAGAGAATTTTAAGTCACTAGGAGCCAGAGGTTAGCTTGGCTGAACAGTAATAGCCCACAGCAGGCTGAGCTCTGCCAAGGGAAGATAAGTTGTGCTAAGAATCCGAGCCAAATGATTATCCGGGCTTAGAATGGGCCATGTAAATTCAGCTAATTGTTTAATGGCTTGGTCATTCGCATTCAGACTGGCGGGGAGAAGGCTCGGGCTGTTTCCCAGCGTAGCAGCTAAGTGCGGGAGCACAAGTTTCTCTGGTTTTGAGCGTGGCTGCTGCCTGCATCCACCCATAAGAGGCAAAAGTGAAAATCCCAACCCCAGACTTCACCCAGAACAGCGTTTACAGCTGACAACCACACACCAGCCCATGCCCCCTTTACACCAGAGCTGTGACGCTGAAGGGCTGGCTCCAGCCAGGGCGCTGAGGCGAGGACAAAATTCCCCCAACACCCCTTTAACTCGTGACAACCACCGCGTAAACCCTGGCACAGTGAGCACGGGTGAACACAAGACAGCTGCTCTTCC